TTTTTTTTTTTTTTTTAAATCACAAGTGAGGTTTCCTTTGTTTCACAAAAGCTCAATGGACTGAGAAATCTGGCACCAATACTGCTGCGCGTGGCTGCTTAAAGTGGCAGAGGATGCCTGCTAGGAGTGGAAGGCTCTGTGGGCTCTCCTAGCCCAGAGAATTCAAATCCCAATGGCTTATTAGTTTTTAAGTTATACAAAAAGCCTTGTGCCTCCATGGGTGCAACATAAGCCTTAGCTAAAAATCAAATGCCTCAAAATAATTACAATGCAATGGGCCAGTCTTCGGGCGGCGGAGGGAGGGTGAGGGGGACAAATCCAATGGAATCCCACCCTCAAGGGGCCTAGTGCTGTCCCCAGTTCAGAGCGCTGCTTTGCTGTGAGAAAAAGTGAAACAAGTGCCTGCGGCTGCAGCTTAGGGCTCATGCAGAGCATATTGGATGCCCTTCACTGGCCACTCTCGGGGTTACTAAGCAATCAGGCTTGGGGGAAACGTGGCCAGAATGACCAAGGTCTTCTGCTTCTAAAAAGCAGGTGAAACTGCCAGTAACTTCTTATTTAAAGCATTTAGATTCATAGATTACAGAGTCAGAAGGGACCCAATGCATGTCCAACCCCCTACCCCTGGTAGGAAAGAGGACCAAGGTCATATGACCCCAGCCAGGTGACTGTCAAGCCTCCTCTTGAAGACCTCCAAGTTAGGTGACAGCACCACCTCTCTTGGAAGCCCATTCCAGACTCTGGCCACCCTTCTTGTAAAAAAATTCTTCCTAATGTATAACCTAAATCTACTCTGCACTAGTTTGCACTCGTTATTCCTAGTTGCTCCCTTGGGTGCTCTGATAAACAGCACATCCCCAATTCCCTGCTGTCCTCCCCTGATAAATTAGGAAGCACCTGTTCATCCAAGCACTTATAAGCAGCTATAGTTAATCATTCAACTCAGAAGTGAGGAAGTGGCCGACCCAACATATTCTAGCCCAAGTGCCCGAGTCGCTGGGCAGAGGACAGACTAGCCCATAGCACCTGCCTGTTTTCCCTGCATCACAGTGTTTACTGTGGCACTGCACACTGCAGGGAGGTACCCATTTGTGTTCTTGCAATCAGAGCCTGGAGTGCTCTCCAGCAGACCAGACCAGAATGCAGCAGGGCTCAAGGGCAGCAGTTTCAGGTAAATTCAGGCAGGATTTTCACTAAGTCAGAAGGAAAGCAACAGCAAGCACCATCCATCAGGTCGGTGACTCACTCTGAAGCATGCTCAGAACATGGAAGTAGATTCCTGTGCTGTAGTGGCAGTGCACAATCTGGACTGAAAGACTTAAGAGGGGAGAAGCCTTTGACATTTCATTAGCACAGTGGGGCAACTGGGATCTTGGCAACCTGGGAGGCAAGGGAAATGGTTGGCATACTTCTGCTACGGAGCCATCAACAGTGAGTTACCAGGCTAATTAATGTTCTGTGAGCTGCACTGGCTTCTGGTAAGCTTCTGCTGGAAGTGAACGGGTTGGTTTTAACAAGAGTCCTCAATGGTTTGGGATCTGGTTATGTGGGAATTAGCTATCCCTAGAAGCCAGACCGAGGGCTCCATTGAAGTGCACGAGAGAAGAAGGCAGCTGGCAGGATGTTCTCTATGAAGGCTCCTGTTTTGCACGTCTCTCTCCTCTTAAGCCAAAGCCTGAACATGTCAAAAATTCCATGCACATTCAACACTCATCTGCTCTTTCCTTATCCTGGCTGCTGAAGAAGGGGTAAAAAGGCCTCACACCTTTTAATTATAATAGTGCTGAACGATGATCAGATACACCAAGATACTCTCTAAAAATAAAATCTTATGAATTCAAATCAGCTTTTCAGATCACCCTCATTGGGTTCATTATTCTCTTTGCACCTCTCAGAGCCACTGATCCAGGATTTCTGAAGACTCAGGAAGACCACCAGCAGTTTGGGCTCTGGTTTGGAAACTTCTTTGCCTTCATAAAGGCTAAAACTTTGTTTTAAAACATAAAAGCACAATTTTGCAGCAGCAAAAAATCACAGAGCCTGTCTCTACCCAGGAGGAGGCATGGTGAGAACCCATCCATCTTCCTAGAACTTTGCCCAGTAATTAGAACCACATTGCAGAAGAAGCAGCAAGCACTACAGAGGCAGCACTATCCTAGCATGTCTCCAAGAGGCTAAGGGTCAGGACAGCTCACCTGCAATGACTTTCTCCACAGCATACTCAAAGCTGGAGGTATGGATGGATTTATGGCCCTCTCTGGCAGCATGGAGAGCAGCCTCATTGCAGATGTTTGCTACGTCAGCACCTGTGAATAAGGCAGGTTACAAAAGTTACATTTTATTTGTTATGATGGGCAAGAAGAGGCAGGGGGGCAGCAGAAACAGCAAGGCAAGTCTGGAGGAGGATACAGGGAAGTAAAACACGCTTGCTTCATGAGCCCCCTTTGTTACTTAGAAACAGAGAACAAACTTAATTCGTGGTGTTTATGTTGGATTTAAACAATGCAACTGCCTTGGCAATCAGCACCAGGCTGCCATGCAGGGGACAGAGTTCAGCAATCAATTAACAGGGCTAAAAAGCCCAGGCTGGCTTTTGACAAGAGGAGTGTTGTGGGCCGGCTGGGATTGGCATGGGCCAGGGCGTTGTTCAAGCAGCAGCCACACAAACCTCTGCACAGAAGAGAAAGAACATCTGTTCTGAGTTTGTGTATGTGTGTGTGTGGGTGATGGTGGTGGGGGGCTGGTGAAAGAAGTCACGAAGAGGCAGCATGCTGGGGCCTGTTAGAGGGGAAAATCTAGAAAAAGATCTTCCAGGAACTGCATGAGAAAAAAAAAAAAAAAACATTGAGGCCCTGTGCTCAGCAGCTCAGTTTCAAGCTGCCAACTGCCCACTCTGACCAGCGGCTGGGTATGGGAACCAGGAGAGTGGTTTGATTTTACCCTGTACTACAAAGTAACCTCTATTCCTTTCCACCCGAGATGGAATCCTTTTTTCCGTTAAAGCTTTTATTGATTTAGCAATCTCTTCCTGGCTCAGCGTAGTGAAGTGCAGCTCATTTGCAATAGCAGCCTGGTGGTGGTAGCCTTCTCTCATAGGAATCTGGGTCACAAGCATTGTAGAGGCTCATTCCCCCTCCCTCCCCCTCCACCAGGCAGCAGACAGCTGGGTGCCTGAAAAGGTTAAGAGCATTCCTCTTCAGGCATGTTGGTATGGGAGGGACTGCCCAGGTTCTAGCCACGTCAGGAATAGATGAAGAAAAAAAATCACAGAGACAAAATACATCATACGTGAGGGCTGACAAAAACAAGAGCCATGAGCTCACAAGCAAGGAAACCCTGACAGTGCATCGAGCCCTGGCAAGGAACAAGCGTCTTGTACCGCTGAATCCTGGGGTGAGCTCAGCCAGGTGCTGCGAGTAGAAGCTGCCAGTCTGGGTGAGCTTCAGCCCCTTCAAGTACTGCTCGAAGATCTCTCTCCTGTCCTGTGAAGAAAAGACAGAGCATTTATAGGGAGAGGCAAGTGCTCAGTGATAGCACCAGTGATCTGGAGACCGGGCAGGGGCTTTCGGTAGAACCCCAACACAGCCAGGCACTTTGCTGGGAAGCTGGAAGTACAGGACCTAAGTGCCTGGTGCTGAGGAAAAGACAAGGCCACCAGAGGGCGAAGCTGCCCCACTCCACTGCCCTCACTGCCATCACCCCGGGGGGCCTGGATGCATCCACAGCTCTCAAATTCAGGACAGATGCATGAAGGCTTCCAGTAAGTCCTCCCAGAGTCACTCTGTCCCCTCCCAGCTTTGGCTTTGGTTTATGGCTTAACATTGCTTCTGCCATCATAGGACTTACGGGTGAGGAACCAGGAGCTTGGCTGGTGTGTCTGTGCCCTCCTGTGCTGTCACAGGAACCCTTCTGCTCCCTGAGCAGCATGTGACAATCTCAAGATTAAGTTGGGGGCTGAATGACAGCTGGCAGGGGGCCAACAAGTGACTCATGCAGAAGATCCTGATTAAAACAATGGGCTCCATTGCCAGGGATTTTTTTCCCCCCACCCACCACCACTTTCCTCCTCCAGGGCAGCAACACGATCTGGCACCGGAACCATGAACCGTATCAGGCATTTAAGGTATTTTGCATGGAAACCCCGAGGAAGATGGTAAAGCTGCAGATGGGAGGAGGAGACGCTCTGCATGAGAGCGTGTCCTCACTGCTGCTTTCCAAGCCTCTGTTGCGATGCCAAAGGCATGGGACTCCTGCTGCTAAACAGATCTGAGCATGCTCGGGGTTCAGAGGGAGAGTCGCATGTATCCAGAAGCAACAGGGCAAGTGGGGGACAGAGCGCTGGGGGCATTGAAGGTGTATTCCTGCCCTCAGCTCTCTCCACACAGGCTGCACTAGCTACAGCACCACATTAGGTAGCCCTTAGCTTCAGATGGAAGAGCAAGAGCACACAGATGCATCATAAAACTCTTGCCTCCAGTACACAACAGCCACCTTGCAGTAAAGCTCTCAACCACAGCTAGACAGAAGCAGAGGGAGACACCTGAAACTGTGAGTCATCCTGTCGGTGCAGAAGACTCTGCATTACCACAGTGAGTCTTTGCTTTGAGGCACAGACATAAGCAACAGAAACATGGTTCCCAATCTCTATTGGCCCATGGCCAACAAGACGGAGCAAGTACCACATTAGACTTCACTCTCCCTGGCAGCCTGAGTTTTCATTAATTAATTTCCTGTAGCTGTGAACAAGGCCCGACAGCCCTGCAAGGCAGACTGACAGCAAGCCATGACCATTGAAATAGGTTTGCCACTCCCACCAAAGATTTGGGCATCACCTACACAGGTATTCATGAAATGGTGATGTAGTGGGACAGCAGTTTCACAGCTATATTGGGAGGGTGAAAGGAGGGAGGTGGTATATACCTGGAGTGTTGGAAGATCAATAAAAATGTGTCGGTCGAGCCTCCCTGGTCTTATGAGAGCATCATCCAAGACATCAGCGCGGTTGGTAGAAGCCAGCACTATTACATGATCCCTGGTCCCCATGCCTGTGGGGAAACAAGAGCAAAAATAAGTGTGATGGGATTTGCTATTGCAGGGCTCCCATTCTGCTGTGCAAGGGTATAGCTGGGGTGGGGAGAAGGAAGCCACAGCTGAAAACTTCAGGACATGAGGCAGACAAGCTGCAGACTTTTGCTTCCTGTTACTTCGGGATGCTGGCCTGGAAGGCAATCCTGCACCATTCATGCCAGGCCATACCTATTTTCTTGTACTAACACTAGTCTTTAGTTAGCACAGCTCATCTACCCCAGTGTTTACTTCATGAACTCTGTCAGTTGTAGCCCAGTGTGAAAAGAAAGCCTCAGCCTGAAGAGCTCACCTTCCAAACTCACATCATACAAGCAATGGCAATTACCATGTATTTGGGCAATGACGTTCAACACATGCAGCCTGTTACCGCCAGGGTTTAGGCAGGGCCCTTGCCTCCCAGACTGTAAGAACAAAAGGAACATAAGGGTTTAGAGGTCTGGAGTCATGGGGGGGTGTGGGGCCAGTGCAGGAGAAAGGCACCACGGGGCTGTCGCTTGTGTAGCTCAAGCGGGGAGCAAAAGAACCATGTTGAGTCACTGAACCATGCTGCTTATTTGTTATGTTCCATCAGGTGCCTGGAGGCCTCTGGGTATGTGTCACTCAATATATTCTTCCAAGCAGCAGATGTCAATAGCTCTGGCATACAGCAAGCTTCCAGGGAAGGCCTGGGCTGGTTCCTTTCTCTTCCTTGACTGCCAAGTCAGATGCTACAGCAAAGCAGCCTCCTGAACATAAGCCTGTCGAGTTTCAGCTCTCCCCAGCTCCCACCGCAAAGCTGCCAAATGTGTCAACACACACTAGCTCAGCAGAGAGATTAAGGCTACAGGTAAATCACAGGACTGGCCCTACAGGAAAAAGCAGCTTGTTCCACCATGCACCTCAGTTCTTCCTCCCCACAGGACACTGTCAGAATAAGCTCCCAAAGAGGATGAAGCACCATCATTCTTTGGTCATGTATTACATTGCACTTCAGAGCGTAATAAATAAGCAGAGAGACTGGCAGTCACATGGGGGATAACAGCCTTCATTCACACGGCAGGATTAGACTGTACTGTACATTATCTGCTTTGCAGCTGGACAGATTCAGTCTTAAAATAGGTCTGACTATTAGGATGTATATAACAAAAGCAAAACTACTGACTGTATTCTTCTTGCATCAGCCTCGTGCTCCTAGCCTGGGTCCCAGAGGCCTGAAACATCCACTCCAAGAAAACCAAGTCAGCATCTCTGAATCTGTACTAAGCCTCCCAACATGATGTCACCTGGCTATTAAAAGGTTTTGGCTTCAGTGGCCACAGGATCAGTCATGAGGAGCAGCCAACAAAAGCAACCCCTGCGAGTTGTATTGGTGAATAAAACTAGTATTGGAAATCCAGCCTTAAAAAAAACATCTTTGCATTTGTACGGCTTAGAGACAAACTGCTTGGAAAAAGAAAGGGTTAAATGGCTTTGATTAATTTAACCACTCTGTCTCTTCCCTGCAGTAAGGGGAGAGCATCAGGCCAAGAGACTTCTTGTTTCAGCAATTGCAGTGTGTGTGTCTCCAGCCACTACACTTGCAAAGCGCCACTGGAGCACAGCCACCTCGGGGAGGGGGGCAGACTATCGGGTCAGTGACTAGCTTGCAACAGGATCAGCTGGGAAGAGAAGGATTGTAGACAACGGCCATGAGCAAACGGTTGCTGCTTAATGCCCAGGGTTTGTGGTGTAGACCAGGCTTTGGGATCTCACCAGGTTGAGGTCATTTACAAGGAAATGGTGTGATCAGGCTTCCCCTTCTCCTGTTCACTATGTGCTCAGAATTCCCTGCTCAAGTCACACACAGGTGTGGACGTTGTTACAGTTGTCACCTTTTACTCCAGTGAGTAGGAGGCTCCTGGTACAAGCTGGGACACAAACCTGCAGGGCTCACCCCATTCACCTAGGCTGAGTTCCATCTCCAGCACATCCATCAGAAGATCCTCCTTAACCTTCTGTGGGTTCCTCAGAGCCAACACAGGGCCTCCTCTCTGGGGAAATCTGGTTGCAAACAAACATCTCCATGCTGCCTGCTTCACTCATCTACCCAAGTCCAGACTTCCCTTCTGTTCACACTCAAATCTTGAGTGGGTCTCCCTGAGGTGTCCTCACAGACACCTAACCATCAGATGCAGCTCAGGATCACCACAGAGCTCTTGACATTCCCCTCCCTGCCATCTTCCTTGATCACCGTGGACACCTTTTCTGGCTTTGACAAACACAGCTTCGCTGCTCCTGGACCCACTTAAAGCTGTTAAAGGAGGAGGAGGGACGTGGATTTCAAGACAGATAAAATCCTTAAACTTGGGAGAGACTACAAAGAAATGCGACTGGCAAGGGGGGCAAAAATGCAGGTTTAAGTCTGGAATCCTTGTGGAGGTAGAAAGGCCCTCCACAAGGCTGGGTGAGAGCAACACTCACCATCCATCTCCACCAGCAGCTGGTTCAAGGTCTGCTCCCCCTCAGCGTTGAAGAATGACATGCTGGTTGAGCGTTTCTTTCCCACAGCATCTATCTCATCGATATACACAATGCAGGGGGCACGAGCCCGGGCTTCTTTGAAGAGGCTACGAACACGAGCCGCTCCAAGACCTAGGGAAGGACAAGGAATCAGGGGAGAAATAGGGGAATTACAAAGGTCAAGCTGTATACACTATATATATTTTAATTATCTGTGGTACAATAGCACCGATAGGCCACAACCAAGACAGAAGCCTGGCCCTGGTCAAATCCTTGGCAGGTAATAGCCCTTGCTGTCAAGAGATTACAATCAAGCAAAAGGACGGACAGACAGACCAGAAGCAAGACATGAAAAAGTAAAATGAAAGACCAAGATCATATAGCAAATCAGGACACAAATATGCAGCATCCTAAATCCCGACCAGTACTAGAGCACACTGCCTCTTCACTGGGCTCACAGTACTCCAGGCATCCTCAAAAGCTGCTCTAGGAAAGTAGAAAAAAAAAAAGGCCTTTCACTCTAGGCACACTTGTCCCTGCTGTGGGTTAGAGATTCACCCACCCAGCCCCTGTGCTGTGCTCTATGTAAGAAGCCAGATTCCTAGGGAGGGCAGACACCCTTACCCTTACACAGGGAAAGCAGCCTGGAGGGGAGAGCTTCAGTTCCAGAAACATGAGGCAATAGTGCACGTGCAGACTGGGCAGTCAGTGAGCAGGGGTCCTGGGCAACTGCTCTGCTGGTTAGGGGACAGGCCTGGCTGCTGGCAGGAAAAAAGAGGGGCACAGCAGTGTGAATGCCACATCCTAGACAGCAAGGAGAGCTGCAACAGGGGCTGAGGACATCAGGTTTGCTACAGGCAGCAGGACAAAGAGCTCTCCCTTGAACAGCAGAAAGGGATGGAAGGAGGCCACATTATAATAGTCAGGCAGGGAGCTCATGCTGGCAGTTGTGCCAATGGCACTGACTATCAGCGACAACACATGTTGCATCATCTACACATATGCTCAGGCCAACCTTGCCTGGGTTTGGCTCCTTGTCCCAGGCACAGGCAGCAGTTTTGCATGCTCCAGCAGATTGAACTACCCCTCCACCTGCATTCTTTCCTGTCCAAGGTCAACAGACTTACCTCCTATCACCTCTATGAACTCAGAGCCAGCCATTGCCAGAAACGGCACTTTTGCCTCGGTAGCCACAGCCTTTGCCAACAAGGTCTTTCCACAGCCGGGAGGGCCAAGCAACAGGACGCCTTTGGGCACCTTGGCCCCAAGTTGGAGGTAACGGTCTGGGTTCTGCAAGCACAACACAGTTCTGTCAGGTGCTGGAGGGTAGGTGGAGGGAAACGAGGATGGGGGGCTGGCCACGGTGTGCATTTTTAGAGGGGCAACATTCAGAGTTTAATTTGTGATTAATTTATCCAAAATAGGCAAGAAAAGCATCAGGGGCTCTGAGTTCATGTGAGCAGCAGCCTGTGCTCTCCTGCTCAGTACTCGCCATTACAGAGACTGGCTTTTGCTGTCACTGGCAGCTTGTTTAAACAGGCTCAGCACAAGACAAAGAGAGAGTGCATCCTGCTTAGACCATTCAGGAACACAGGCAGCAAAGACACTGGAGCTCATTCGCCCTCACCTCACCCCCTCCCCCAGAAGAAAGGATTATAAAACATTAGAAGTACTGTGAACAAGATGCACAGCTAAGGAAAGGTGAGCCTGAGGAATTCTACCCAACTTCAACATTCCCTCCCTGCAGGGAGGACCTCTGTCTTTTGCCGTCTAGGTCAGAATCACTCTGACCCTGGGAATCAGGCTGCACTCATATGGGCTGTCCAGCAGATCTGCCCTCTCCGCCTCTGTTCACAGCAAAAGCATTTGTAGCTCTTACCTTCAAGTAATCCACAAATTCCTTGACCTCCATTTTGGCTTCATGCATTCCTGCCACATCCTTGAAGCTGATCCCTTTCCCAGACTTCCCGTCTACAATGGTGAAGCGAGCCATTTTCAGCTGGTTCTGTAAAGGAGACAGCATGTGAAATCTAAGGGCAGAGTCTTGGCATGGAAGGAGGGGCAGACTAGCAATGCTGGGTGAGATCAGATAATGGAATTCACCTACTTCCTTGAGCTATAGGAAGCATAATGCATGACCTCCTCTAACAAGATGCATCACAAAGCCCAGCATATGTCTCTGTTGTAACTGAGCAGAGTGACTCAGTGCCACCAGTGTTTCACTTTTGTGAAGACAGTAGTGCCATTCCGGTAACAGGGGCTGGGACTGGCAATTCAGTAACTTTCCTAACCGATATCTTTTCCAGTAATAGACACAGAGGAAACCTGCAGCAGCTCCACCTCCCAACCAAGCAATCAAGTTCAAAATCTGAGCAGAGGGCCCAGATCTGCAGGGCAATATCCTCATTCTGATTTCTAAGCCTCAGACCTTAGGTATATTTGGGCTGGATATAAATGAATGTGGAGAAACATAAGTGAATGGTTCTTTACCATCAATACACCACTCTGCACTATCATCTGGCACTGCTGCCACAGTTTCTGTTCCAAGGCAGTTCAACAAATGGAACTACAGGCTCTCAAATGTAACAGGCACCACATTTGAGCCTCCTGGTGTGCGTTAAGCCACAGTGACAGTCAAAACAACAATTTAGTTAAACACCCTCCCTGTAACTGCTCATTATGCTTTGCTGAAAACAGCTACTAAGATTTTTTTTTTTTTAAGGTGTGTGGGGAGTTTATGGCAGTTCAGACCCTCGAAACACAGGTCCAACTGCAGAGAGTCAGACAGGGAGGGCCCAACTATAACCACACATGCCAGAGCAGAAACTAGCCCAGAAAGCCCCCTGCACTCCAAGTTTTAAAGCTCCTCTGCTCTTCCAAGCAGTTGCATTTCATTCTACAAAATGAATGCAGAGCCAGCAAAGAAATGCCCAGGCAGAGATATACTGGGAAACATCTTAACGGGGATTTGGATTCAGTGCTCTCTTCATTCAAGAGTCCCTAGGATTAATGCAACCACACCCAGGTCAGATTTACACAGTCCTGTCTGCTGATGGAGGGGAAAGGGGATTTGACTGATGTTACACACAGGGCCTGTGGCATGAGGGGAAGAGGCCAGCCCCTAATGAAATCCAGAATTTGAACATATTTTATACATTGAGAAGTCATTTTGCAAAAACTAGAGATTCCTACTCACAACTGTATGGGAAGCATGTTGGCAAGCCAGAACGAAAAACACCATTTGCAGCTGCAACTCATTAGTGAGCTTTGAAAATAGCATAGCAAACTGCATTGCAAATTCACTGAGCTCAGCCCTTCTTGCTGTCAGGGAAAGAAAGGGCCTCAGCTGAAGCCAGTTACTGTATAATCTAGTCAGCTGATCAGGATAGGAAAAGATGCAAGATATGTCAAGACCGCACAGTTTCTGGCATCAGTTAATTCTCATCTTCTGTTGACTTTATGGGGGGGAGGGGGGAAGGAGGAGGAGGAGATCAGGCCAATACAAGATGAGACACACCAAAAGCTTCAAGACAACTAAACGCAGCTGGGCTTGGTGTACTTACAAAGGCACTGAATCCTCCTTCCCATTCTGCTCTCAAAGCCAGACGGCCGAAGTACCAAAACATGGCTATTCCTATTACGAGTGATCCCAGGGAATGGAGGGCCCTGAAAAACAAACACAACACAGTAGCAAGCCAGGTACAGATTTCAGCAGATGGCCATAAGACAGTTATTCAACTGATCTATTCTTGGGACATTACAAAGGTCCTAGCAGTTCGTCTAGAAGTGCAACAACAGAGGGGAAAAAGAAACAAAAGAAAAATGGCATCAGGAATATTTTTCATACAACAAAAACCACAAGTTACATAACTGAAAGGGGTCAACAGAGGCCAGGCAGATACAGATGATATCTGCCAAAGTGACACTGCCTTATCACCTCTTTCAGAGGCATATCTGCTTGTGATAAAAATGGGCTAGATCTTGTGCAGCTGATTTAGGATCTGGTGGGGGTAAGGCAGCATACTTCTCCAAGTGAGGAGAGCTAGACAGAGGAGCCTAATGGCTTCTTTGCATGGACTGGACCTAGCACCTTAAATCCTTTGGGCAGCTAAAGGTTTGGCTCCTTAGATCAGAGCCACCACAAGGCTTCTCAGGTCTACATGGGCTAGTAATGGGCCCTCAGGGCCAGTTACTCAGCCAGGGATCACTAGACTGCAAAGTCCAGTCATGGTCCTTGGATCATGGGCATGGTTCTTACGCTCTCTATGCATACAACACTGCTGAGTCCCCAGACCCTAAAGCTTTGTCTACAGCACAGGGAGTTAGAAAAAATAGTCACCTTTATTTTGCCAACAGTGCAAACAAGGGCTTGGTTCTGCACAGTGCCTAGCATCTGAACAGACCCAGAGCTGCAAGTACTGTATACCTCACAGGATCAGGCCCTGAATTCTGAAGTCACCACAAATAATGTACAACCCTACATCTTTTAGGGTTCCTCTTTTCACAGGAGAACAGTGTTGTTAGGTAATGGATATGCAGCCAGGAACACAAGCTTGCTGCTTATCCAAAAAAAAAAAAATTATAAATCTACAAGTTTCAGTCACATGATCAGAAGCAATAAATGCTGCATCTCATTCTAAACCAGTTGCCTTCACAGTCAGGGATGAAAAATTGCCATGTCTATTGCTCTTCAGGAGCCCCTGAAGGAAAGCCCACGCACACCCAGTTGATGCTGTTACCATCTGCTACATTACAAGAATGCAGCTAAGTAATGCTGGAAGACGGCTATGGCTCCCCTGAACCAGCAGGGTAATTTGAAACATCACAGCACCCTTTCCCTTCCATTTTTATGGTAAAGGAATTTCTTGGGCTAGAAGATGCCGGATTTCTGCAGCTTTGCTAGTGGTTTAGAGAGTAAGTTGATTAAAAGCACTTCCTACACTCGAGTCATGCACATGCTTAGAGAGAACTTCCCTCTACCATGGTCTGTTTGCCCTCCAGGAAGGAGGCGCTTCTGGACACGTCCAAGTCCTTAGCAAGGGGGCTTTATAAGTCTGTTTGTACTGTGGATTCCATAAATCTTGTTTTGCAAGAACATGCTGCCAGCTTTAACAGAAGGACAAATAAACCACAGCAGCAGCAAACAGACTGCAAGATACTGGTACTGGTGTTTAGAAACAAAAAAAACCTACATTCCAGTCAGCACTCTTAAATCCTTTCAGGGAGATTTCTCTCCCCCCCGCCTCCTCTTTTCACTCCTCTCTTGCAGGCTGATATTAGAATTAAAAGCTTTAGCCAGTGTTGAATTGTTTTGACAATGACACCTGGGATTTGGACTGGGAAAAAAAAAAAAGTCTATAAATTTAATAGGAGCCCTTGCTTCTCGCTGACACCAAGTCTTATCATTAAAGCCGTTCGTCTCAGCACACGGCTCCAAGTCTGAGCGAGTGCCAGATCCTGCTATCTGTCTGACCTGCAGCTATTGTTTTCATGGGCCAAAGCTAAGGGGGTTTATTTTTATAAACTGGCTCAACCCACCATAAGCCAGCTTCATGTTTAAAGTAGGGAAAGGCTGACTAGGATTCCCACTTCTCTTTGCGCTGGTGGATAATGTCACATTTGCTGAGCCCACTGTGTTACGAGGTTTATTGTGGTTTGCGCTATGAGAATCGATTAAAAGGACAGAAGTGCTCCATTAGGAAATTACTTTTACAAAAATCCATAGCAACTCATGCCAGCTTTCTCAGGCTTGCAGATCCTCACTCTAGGGACTCTGAGCCTCTTGCACATTCCTGTCCTTTGCCAACATTTGCTGGTCTCAGTTGAGTCCTGCAGAAGGAGCTCAGTCCCTGATGTTTAGCTGCCTTCTAAAACAGGGCCTATGGTTGTAAGACACTTGTACACTCTTCAGGGCAGGGGCTGCCTCTGTTCTGGAGTTTGTCCAGTACTGTGCATAGGGTTACAGCCATAACATGTATAAGAAATAGCAACTAACACAACATACTTTTCAAAGGGGCTATGGCGCTGGTAGGAAACTGGGATCCTGTCCTTTCTATCAATGTTCAGCTGGTCCTCCAATGCGCTCAGCTTTTCTTCAAACTTGTCAATATTGACCACAGGCATTCTGAAAACCTCTACACGTGCCTGGACAAAGAAGACAGAGACAGACATGTGATAGTGTAAAGTTACAGCAGCAAGTACTAGCATAGGGGGATTAGGGTAAACTCCCCTCTAACTCAGGGTCGCCGTCTGTCCAGCAAGTGCACCAAAACAGGAGCAAGTAGCAACGGAACAGAACTTAGACCAAAGGAAAAAAAAATAACTCTCGCCTTTCAGTCACACAAAGACATGCACGCATGTATGCAGTTACATTTTGAGGCAAAGTGTGGAAAATCTCAGCTAACGAACTAGTCTCCAGAAACAGCAATGACTGTGTGCAACTTGGAGGACGGTGTTATTCCTTAAAAAGGCCATTTTTACTGGTAGCCTGGATCCACCTGTGCACCTGCTCAGAAAAAGGACATCCATGCCAGTCCAGTTTCCTGCATGTGGTTGAGATCCTTTAAAGCACTTTTGTACATCCCACACAACAGTGAATGCCAGGAAGTGGTTTGTGAACTCACTGAAGAAAATGAACCAATGACCAAATAAATGATTTACTGTCTAACTCAGTGCTTCTCAACCTTTTTAGGCTCAGGGCACCCCTTGCTAGGCTCAAGTGCCAGCTCTTGGTTTTCATTCTTTGGAGGTTTTTTTTGATTTTGGGAAAATAATACAACATTTTTTTCTGTTGCAAAGAACTCAGAAAGACCACAACACATGGGCCTTTCTTAATACTATGAATTCCTATTTGAAATCTCTGGGCTTATCTTGTGAATGATATTTGCACATATAAAAACCCTAACATTGCATGGCATGGTGCAGCACCCCTGAAAGAATCTCAAGGCACCCCAGGGTGCTGCGGCACCCTGGTTGAGGATCACAGGTCTACTCAATTTCTGGTATTTCTCAGAAGTGACTCCTGAAAAAAGCCCAGCAGGTCAATGCTTAATGCGCACTCAAGGGTTTTGTTTATTAAAAGAAATAAAAGGGTCTATGCATTTAGGGATTGTCAAGGATCCGAAACAAGATCCCACATAGGTGGCTGTGACCATCTCTGCCCATCAGCCAGTAGCAAAAATTTGTACTCAGAGGCATCTTAATTGAGTCTATAAAAGGAAGTATTTAATGGGGCAAAACAAAGAAACAAATCAAAACCCTTTACATTTTTAGAGGTCTGTGACGGTTTTTGTGATATTTAAGCAACCATCACCAGAGAAGAGATTAAAATCCATAATTAAAAATTGGTTTAAATGGCAGAAATCCCCCGAACTTCACATAAGTGACAAAGCAGCAGCTGGGGCTTTCATTAACGAAGACATATCTGATAAATTTCTCCCAACAACTTGATCTGGGATTATTCATTTCAGCAGCACAAAGTCACTCACACGTTGTTTATGTATGATTGCTCCTGGATACAGAAAGATCTCCACTATGCCAGTCTCTGGATTCACCTGCACCCTCTGGATCTCCCCCTTGGCTAGCATCTCATTCGCAAACTCGTTCCAGGTAACGATGCCCACATTCTCTTTCTGGCATTGTATCAGAATCCAGATGATAGACAATAGAAGTAACTGGTTCAATCGAGTGTGGAAAGCAACTTGTTTCTCCTCCTTGCGCTGCTTCTCCTCCCCTTCGGAAAAGGAGAGAGGGGTATGAGAGAATGAAAAGACCTGAAGAATGGACACACAGCACACCAGAGACTGGGTCATCAGCACTGTCAGCCTGCTGTCCTACATGCAGTTCTTCCTGGAAACCTATGCTTAAAAGCAGTATCTGGTCTGTGCTGAGTTCCTGCAGAGCCAGTTTTCCAGCAAGGCTGATGGAGGCCCAAAGAGATCGTGTGACCAGTCCAAGGTCATACACAGTGAATCAGTGTTTTAGATTATGTTACAGCCCTGGACTGTTCTGGCTCCCCGACTTCGTCAGACCGCAAAGCCTCCTCAACTGCCCTCATTACATAGCACTAGTTCAAAAGCCTGTTTATGAAAGTGCAAGCAGCCAGATCCAAAATTAACAGTTGCTAGGAAGCAGGGAAGTTTGCCTTTTAATAACTGGCAATATTTGCTTGTATCATGCTGCTGCTTTCTACCCTTAGAATCTGTTGTAGCTGCTGCCACATTCAGCTGCTCCCCCTGCCCCAAAAGCCAAAGCTGAGAGTGAGAGAGAGAGAGAGACACACACTGTGTGCACAGACTATGTAATAGATACGAATAAGGGTCACATTTTTCATTTCAATTGTCAGTTTGGTAAAAGGAGGAAATGAAACAGCAAGAAGAGTTCAAATCTTGTTTTTGGAAGGTATCTACTCTCTTGCTTTGCACGGAATAATCTTTAGCACATTTTAAAAAGCTTTGATCGGTTGTTTCTGTTTTCACTTAAAAGAGTCTAATCTTGGTCCAGAAGGTCAAAAATCCATTAAATGGTTAGCCAATCCACCAAATGTCCCCTCCCTACTCCGAACTGAGAAACCGTTTATTTCAACTGTCTGGCCCAATACATACAAAAGATCAAACAAAACCATTGGAGCCTTGCTGCTGAAACCAAACCAAAGCCTTTGAGTAATACTGTAACCCGGAGTGGGTAAAATACAGCCCATGGGCCAGAACCGGTCCATCAGGGGATTTTATCTGGCCCGTGGCAGGTCCTTTGGCTTCACTCAGCCCAAATGTGGTGGGCAGCCCAGGCCATGGTGCATGCAGCTGGTCCTGATGCCCCCAGGTATGCAGCAGGGCTCATGTGGCATGGCAGCCAGACTGCTTCCTGGCAGCCCCAGCAGCAGGACCTCCTTCTGGCTGCCACTGCCAGTACTGGACCCCTGCTACCATCACAACCTGGCACTGCTACCTGGCCAACCCAGCCCGTCTGCCCCACATCCACTGCCAGGGTCACTACAAGGTACAGGCAAGGTCTCCATGGAGATCACCCTAGGACCCACACAGGCAGGGTGCGCTCAGCTGGGTGGATGGGGAGGAGGACAGACCAGCAGGGCTGGGGCGGGATCACATGTTGGGACAGCGTGTGGCCAAGGCCCAGGGCAGAGCCGCGATGCACTGCCTGCACATCCCTGCAACGGGCACTGGTTCTGCGGACTGCAGCCCTGCACTGTCGCCACCCCACGATCCAGGCCCTGGCCCTGTTCACCCATCCCAGACGCTGTTCCCTGCCTGCCTGAGGCCCCATCCCATCCCCCTGGTTGGGCATGCCTTGCCTGCATAGTCCATGAGTTTGACAGATGTTCACTTAATCCTATGGTAAAAGACTTATGGGAGGAGTAAAATATAATAAAACTTTAATAATAAATAATAATAAAATTAAATAACACCCTTAACCACTTGTGCAATACTACTTAGGAGGGCAAAACACTTCTCGATTAGGTCTTAGCTCCTAAAAACCTCAAAAGGCCAACAACATTTACATTAGCTAAGACACCAACTGCAAACCAAGATACTTTTAGTTGTCTGTTCTCTCTTTTTCAACTCAAGCTACTCTTTATAAAATGCCAGCTCTTAGTTTTCGCTCATTTTTGAGTGCAGAAAAATAAGAGGAATTCTTCTGTTGCAAAAAACTCAGAAAGACCACACCAGGGCAGGTTTTTGACACTCTGGATTCCTATTTTAAATCTCTGGGTTTATCTTCTGAATCACACATAGTTGTTTGCTCACCTAACAAACCCTGGCACGCTTAAAAAAACCTCTCACAGCACCCTGGTGAAGAATTACTGCTCTAAGCCAAAGCAGCTATTAGTATTATAAAATAAACTTTATGTCGACATTTAATCTAAACTTCATGGTGCTGAGAGAAAATCTCAATACATTCTGTGCTAGTTAAGCTAAGCAAATCCTTATGCATGGTGTATAAAAAAAGGACTAATAAGCTACTAGAAGGCCTATTCCATAGATGGATTTAATTCAACAGTTTATGCGCTGAACATACTTGCCTTTTGTCTTAATATGCAAAAAGCATCTAGTCAAGTAATTTAACTTTAAAACCCCACTGGAAGTATGGCTGACATGTATCCCTGTCTGCATCTAATCCATGTTCTTAAAACTCTGGCCTTTTCCAGGCTGCAGAAAGTCTAGAGCCTGGAAAGGGCAGTGTTGGCAGAGGACTCTGTTTCAAGTGCTGACTACAACTTGATAAAAAACACAAACATCATCCCCTCTGCATTTGGACCTGGATGTTCTTGATACAGAATTTACTACCCACAACACTGTACGTAAATACCATTCTACACACCAACATAAATTACGCCTGCACCACTGGACTGTTAAGTGCATCTGCCTGCTGCAGCCCAGATTAGATTTATTTGCAAATTCATAACAAATGCTCTGACACTGGAATTTATCACTAGCCACCAATTAGATCCTACACACAGCACAACAAAACCAGGGAACAAAAATACGACCAATCAGACACTAAAAAAGTCCTCTGTCCTTCAGATATGCGGCATCATTTTTCAAGTGTTTCCGAGCTCTATTCACTGTTTAACAGGAAAGGTTTGGCTCTAAACAGAAACAATGCAGCTTTTCAGATAAAGTCATAGCTTCAGAACATAGTGACAGCTCAGGTTCTATGTTCACCCATCCCCTTTGTTTTTTCATGCCATTTCCTAACTGCTGCATTATCAGCTAGATCCAGCTACACAAGAATGAGTAAACTAATCACAAAGCTATGGTCTAATAGCCAACAAAGTCTTGTAAAAAAAAAAAAAAAGAATGAAGCAAGGATCCCTTAAAACCAGGTGATATCTTGCAATGTTAAATTAGGACTAAAACAGGCAGACTTTGCTTTTGCCAAAGAAAGTGAGGTGACTCTGAAAGAGGTGAGTCCAAACACAAAAGGCTTAAGCGTTGCTAGGATTTTCAGAGAGATCTCAGGTGGTAAAGCACTTCCAGACCTCTACAGAAAAATACTATTAAAGCCCTTCTCCCTCCTAAGTATCAGATGAAAGCAAGACTGATGGATACAGTACGTCCCTTCAGAGTATGGGGCTTCTCCCATCTTTCTAGGTTTTTCTCATGAGAGGCAACCATGACTTTGACGAGACCACTGCAAAACAGGTCACAGTGAAATCATAGCTGGAACAGTGTATCTTACAACAATGCACTTTTTGATTTAAGACCCAGAAATGACCATGCCTTCAATGCTACAGCTGAGGACATTCAGAAGACAATGCCTTAGGAAGCTAGAGGAAAGGCACTTTCTGCTGCCAGAGGTGATCCTTTACTCCATATTCAGGATGGTACAGCTGACTGTGCACTTTAAACCTCCTGGTTACCATACCTCGGTTATCTTGCTACTGCAGTTTGTCAGAAAATGCAGCCACCCTTACAGAGCAGCATCCATGTTACAGCATTAGCTGCTTGCAATAAATAACAGTGACTGGAGACAACACTTGCAGGCAACAGCTGTGGGAACATTTCCAGCTCTTTACCTTCAAAAAAGCCTTCATGAAGAAATGATTTGCCATTAACCCCAAACCTGAACTCTATGATTAAAAGCTTGCAGGGTTGCAGTGACAGTCCGAGGAGTTCTTTTTAATAATTACTGCAGAGACCATCTTTCCCCTGGAGACATGGAGGAGGACTCCACTTCCCAAAGTCAAATTATTCATTCATCACAGGGGAAGAAAGGCCGCAGAACTCAGCAGGTTACTGTTTACAAATGTGTAACAGCCACGGTATTTCTTAAAGGATCTCTGGGCCAGGCATTCTTGTGTGGTCTGCCTGGCACCACAAAACCCAAACTCTCAGAAAAAAAATACTCAATGCAGGTCCTGTGTGGCACAGTGTCTCATGATAAATTCTATATCAGTTCCCAGCACGTGTTTCTCTCAGTTTGCTAGTGCAGGAAAAGGTTAGGCAGACAGGAGGAGCATTCCTTGCATAAAGGAGGCAAGAATGAGGACCTTGAATTGGATTAAAGCATCCAGACCCTGGCACTTCCCTGGCTAGGTGGACGCCACAGGGGCACTGTTCTGTTTGGCACTGGACAAATGCAACGCCATACTTTCTATGCCATTAGTAAGCCTCAGAGCATGCTACAAAAGTGTTATGTACCATTACCTCCATTCTACAGATGGGGAAACAGAAAAAGGCAACAAAACAACTTGCTCAAGGTCACCTAGCCGAACAGGCATAGAGCCAGAAAAAAAATATGCTGACTCTCAGGGCTCTGTCCACTAGGACACAGTGTCTCAAATTTGGCAGCTTTAAAGGTGATATTTGTGAACATTTGACACTGACACTCTCCAATATTTGAAGCAATAACTACTACTATGAATTTAGGTGGCATCCTGTGGATATTGCCTATTCCCACCCCACAAACACATGGATGTCACTCTGATTTGGAAAACTTCATACGTACCCTTATCATCCCCCGAAGATTTCTTTTTAGGTCTTTCATTTTTATCATTATTCCACTGAGAGCCCGAGGTAGTAAAATAGCACGTGCCACCTATGAACAAATATAGTTAGGAGTTTAATAACAGATGGGACGACTCAGTTCTGGGGAAGAGGCCCAGAAAGGGAAGGGAGGCAGATAAGCCTCAAATGCACCAAGGAAAGAGTTCTGTTCTCTCACGTGCACGATTCCCATCAATGCCAACAGAAAACTGGAACAGATGTGAGCAAGAGAGGGGCAATTTGGCATAGCATTTCTAATCAATGTTTTTTTTCCCCCCCAGTAATCCATTCAAACTACAGCTCCATTTAGAAATAGTTTGAAAATAGCAGGTGAGTCCCCTGGAAAGAACTCTTCAACAGTTCCTGAGCATGCACATTTGCCAGTAAAGTGTCAGCTTGGAGCTTGCCAGTGCACTAATATCAGTACCTTACACAAGCAATGGTAAAGGTGCACTATGGGAAACATGGCATGTGCTGCCAATGAACACAGCTTGGCAGCTAGCATCATTTCAACACCTATACAGAAAGCCTACTGAGCGGGTGGCTGCTGTGTGCTAAGGAGGGCTGCCTTTGCCAGGGGAGCATATGAAAGGAAGTATGTGTGTGTGGGGGGGGTGTTAGCAGTCGTCTTCCTGTCTAGAGCAGGGAGGCTCGACCCAACGATTTGCAAGGTCCTTCCAGTCCCTAACATCTATGACTCTATGATGTTCAGGCATGACATAAAATAACTGGATGCTGTTGCTTTCATCATTACCCATTCCTTCTAGGGCTCAGAAAGGTGGGCAAGCCTAGAAAGCAGGGAACTGGATGGAGGAAGTTATAGTACTCCCATATTGGAGGGTCCACCAAAGTTGGCGAGGAATATATGGACTCCCCCCCACATTGTGCAAGGAGGGGAGTTTTTTTAAACACAGCATGCACGTGCCTGGAGCGACTGCTCATCAACGAGCTGCTGGTCGGACCCTGAGATCATCACGACTTCACAGACGTTAGGGCTGGGAGGACCTCTAAGATCATCGGGTCCAGCCTCCTGCCTGCCCCAGGGGCAGGAAGTCAGCTGGGGTCACAGGATCCCAGCAAGATCAGCATCCAAACATTTATCTTGGCGCAGGGAAACTACCCACGGGACAGCAACCAGAGTCCGGTTTTAGGCTTCTAGCACTTCCGTGGTTCGCTCAGCTCCCATACACTTGTGAACCGGGGACACGGTTTGAACTCCCAACAGAGCACCGCTGTGGTAAAGATTTCCTCGTCACCAGTCCCTCACTGAAAAGCCCAAGATTCCTCCACTCTAAACACCGAAACACTCGAACGAGCTGTCGCAGGGGCTGTCTGTGGTGTGTTACCGAGGCCAGGAAGCTGACCAACGGCTGGGATTACTTCCGCTTCAGAAAGATGCAAAGGGCCCTTTAGGGAGACCAGTGGACGACCTGCCCCCGGGGATGGACCCGACAGCAGTCTCGCCCCCGGGATGCGCAGCTCACCCAAGAGTTTCCAGAGCCCAACGGGGTGCTGCAGCAGATGCCGCTTTGCCAGCGAGGCGCCGAGCCCTTGAAACGTGGGGGTGAGCGGTCGCGACAGGAGGCTCTGCGGAGACGGAAAGACGGGAAATCAACCAGGGCCATGTCAGGACGCGGGGAAGGAGGGGAGATCGGCTCTGTCGCAGGGCCTGGTGCTGCTCTTGGCTGGGCTGAGGAAGGGGAGGGCGAGAGCACCCGCCGGGCTCCCCTCCCCCAGACCTCTCGCACACACGCGGGCGCTCCGCCTACCTGAAGCACGCCGCCGCCTTGCAGGGCCCGGGCCCAGCCCCGAGGGCAGCGGCTCGGAGCCAGGCGCCGCCAGCGAGGTCCCCGCAGCAGCAATAGCAGCGCCATAACGCGCCGCGGCCTGCCAGCGGGACCGGAAGAGCCGCCTGAAGTCGCGGCGGCCATCTTGGAACCGCTGCCCGCTTTCAAGATGGCCGACGTCTCGCGGAGCCGGCCGGCCGAGCTCCGCTCCCTCCCCTCCCAGCCCCGCCCAATTGATGCAGCCTAGGGGCTCTCTGCGCTGGGAAAGGAGCGGTGTGAGCTAACACCGAGTGGGTGTAATTAAAGATATCACGTCTGCCGCGAGTCCTGGTTCCGCTGGTGCCTAGGAGGATTTGGCCAGCTTTCAGGTACAGGCGCCCTTCCCCAGGCACAGGAGATTGCAAAGACCGCACGAGGTCTAGGTACAAAAGGAATTCAAGCTCGTGGCAGAGGTGATATCTTTTCTCAGACCAACTACATAGTCTCAAAATACATACGTAAATAAGTAAATGTCTTTATTGACAAGCTTTCAGGCACAGGCACCCTTCACCAGGCACAGGAGATTGCAAAGACTGCACAAGTTCTAGGTACGAGGAATCCAAGCTCGTGGCAGAGGTGATATCTTCAATTAGACCAACTAAATAGTTGCAAAAAAACATGAATTTGTTTGCAGGGTTTTTGGTTGTAGCCGTGTTGGTCTAAGGACATAGGCAAGTTTCTTTTGAACAGATGTGATGTCTTGTATTGAACCAACTGAGTAGCTGGAAAAAAGTTCTTAGCAAGCTTTTGGGTGAAGTTACCCTTTGCCAGGCATAGGGAGTCTGCTAGTCTTTGTTTGCAAGCTTTCAGGCTCAGGCACCCTTCATCAGGTGTACGAGATTGCAAAGATTGTAACAGTTCTCCTAGGTAGACATGAAAATTCATATTTCATTTCTTAAGCCCTTAGTAAAGCACTCAGGAGGAAGGGAGGATAGAGCACTTGCCCCCCTCGCCGCCTCCTCTCTTGGAGGTGAAAGCCGAAAGCTCCCCACTCTGGAGCCATTTATTCCACCTACCACTTGCACTTCTTTTTGGGGTTGCCTGGGGATAAACACCGCAGGAAGACAGCCTGTGTTGCCTGGGAGTGGTGAACTAAGGAGCGACCCTAGGAACAGGATCTCTCTGTGCTTTAGGAGCTGGGTCACCTGTACCAAATTCAAGTGTTTTCCGGTGAAATTCTACTCTCATTGACAGGGAGTGACAGCACAGGGCTTCTGATGGATCCTATGCTCAGGGCTTGTTCTGCTGGTGAACAAGCGTGCTTTCATGGGCGCAAGACCCCCAGTGCCAACCAGAAGGCTGGAGATCAATAGGAGGAAGTAGTCACATGGACACTGATGTATCAAGCCATGCTTTATCCAGTTCCTGAGCCAAAAGCATATGTAATATTTTTCCCTTGCAAGCTTTTAATCATAGACCTGGAAGGGGCTTCTGAACTATTCTCTCTCTTCCCTTTGCCCATTCCCCTCCCTGGTCTACAGTTACAATCTTGTTCATGCAACCATACCGGTGTGAAAGAGAAATCACTCCCCAAAAGGATTCTGCTCTGCTGATACAGGCCCCAGTGTGAGTCACATTGGCAAAAGAGCCCTTCCACGTGTTACTCCAGGGAACCGATTTAAGTGGCATCAACCTATATTCTTATATATTCTTATGTATCCAGGAGGGAGATTTGCCCACACAGCTCTGGCAGAAAGTGCAAGTTTGCTGTTGCTATCATCATTCAACCCCACTTCTCTCTCTCTGGCAAAGGGTTTTGAGGAAACCATCTGTTGTCAGGGGGTGGACTTCCCTCACACCCTCCCGAATCTGGTGTCTGCCCTCTGCTCTGCTCTTCTGAAATTAATTCTCTCCCCTTTCCCAAGGCTGATGATCTCCTCGCATAGCCACTTGTCTTCCGCCCTGATGTTGCTGGCTGTACCCTTCTCCTGGAAACCCTGTCTGCCTCCAAAAATTCTGGCTGACTGTCCTCTTACTTTGCAGATCCTTCTCCTCCTCCCTTCCCTGCTCTATTACCATGCCCCAGAGTTCTGTCCTTGTTTTCCCCTACCGCTGGCCCTGCTATGACTTCATTCATTCCCATCATCTTGTCTCTCATCTCCATGCTGATGGGTCTTTCCCCCCCTGAAGTTGTGGTCTGTCTAAGCTCACCTGTCTTCCCAAGTGCTTGACAGCTTTTTTTTAAATGGAAGGTTATGGTGCTAGGTAAAAGAAAAATAATGCATAGTTACCTTTTGAGAGGCTCTGCCCCCTCTCCTTGGTGTGTCTAAATTAACATCCCCTTTCTGGAAGAGTCTCTTAGGATGTTAATTGTCATCTGCCCCCTGGGATGTGTCTGAGTAAACCTTCTACTTAGCAAGGTCTATTAGCATGTTAATATCCTCCTCACTCCTGGAAGTCTTTTTGTATCACTGGCTTAATTGTCAAACAGCTTAATTTATAGACACAAAATTAAACTCACTCCAATTAATCCATACTGGATGGGCAAAGCTTACAGCTTCATGGCGGGGATAGGACAGGCCACGATTTGGAAGCTAAGGGCTTGTCTACACTATAGAGCCCGTGCCAGCAATACTCCACTTAGTGGAGATGCAATGGATGCTACAATGGGAGGGCTTTTACCCCAAAGCTCCTGCACAGTCCTGCATGGTATGTGCTATGCTGATGAGAGTTCTTTTGACAGCACCGTTGGAGTCACTATGGGAGTCTGGCCAGCACTATCTACCCTGGAAATCTTCAAGAGGAGACTAGACAGTCACCTTGCTGGGATCACCTGACCCCCAGGTATCTTTCCTGCTTGGTGCAGGGGGCTGGACCTGATGATCTCCCAAGGTCCCTTCTAGCCTTACAATCTACAAATCTATGAATCTGACGGGGGCCCATTTCAGCCTTCTTAGTTGACATGACTACATCAGCGAAACTGTGTAGCACAGACCTGGGTTTGACACAGGGAACACTGACTGTATAAACCGAGGGAGTTTACCCACGCTAGCTTAAATCTGGGTAACAGCAGCAATAAAGATGCAAGAGTGAACTACAGCCCAGGCTAGCAACTAGAGTACAAACCTACCAGGAATGCTGAGGACAAGCTCTGGTGGCTGGGTCATGTTGCTGTGGCTTTAGTTCAATTGCTACTTGTGGTATCATAGAAGTAGGGTCGGAAGGGACCTTGTAGATCTTCAAGTCCAACCCCCTGCCTGGGCGGGAGAAAAACTGGACTCAAATGAGTCCAGCCAGGTAGGCATCAAGCCTCTTCTTAAAGATCCCCAGAGTAGGAGCCAGCACCCACCGCCCTACGTTCCAGCTCCTACCCGCCCTAACTGTGAAGTAGTTCTTTCGGATGTCTAATCTAAACCTACTCTCCAATAATTTGTGTCCATTGTTCCTTGTCATGCCAGGGGGCGCTAGGGGAAACAGTGTCTCCCCCAAACCCTTCTGGTCCCCCCTACTGAGTTAACAG